AAGATCAAACCTTGATGTTTTTGATGTTCTTGTCATTGTGCTTTTAATGATGTAAGAGTACCTCAACCATTGGTTTTTGAATTTTAGTAGGCATTCTTGCTTTTTATTTTTTTTTAAAAGATTTTTTTTGATAATATCATATGACATAATTTACTATGTGTCACTTAATTTAATTTTTTATGCAAGTGCCACCAAAGAGAAGGAGTAAAAAGCTTGAGACGAAGAAGGGGAGAGAAAGAGTGGAGAGAAAGAGCGGAGAAGAGGAAAAGTTGAGAGAAAGAGAAACTATCAGAAGGTTAAGATTTGGGTATTTTATTTATTTTTACTTTTAGGATTGAGAAATTGAAAATTAGAAATTTAAAATTAATTTTTAAATAATTTAATAAAAAATAAAAAAAATATTCAGGTCATTTGGAGTGATCCCACCCACTCATGACTCAATCCATTTGGGTTTTGATAATTTCAGTTTGGATCATTTCAAATTTCGGATTAACACATAAGATCCATCAGCTGACTCATAATGAATGAGTTGGGTTGGATTTTCGGATTTGGTCTAATTTTATCAGGTCTAATTTTTATTTATCATTAAATAAATATATATATTTAATATCATATATTTTAAATAAATAAAAAATGTTAATTATTTAAATAAATGTAAGGTTGTACAAAAAAAATTATTTTTAAATCATTTTTCAAAAAAAAAAAAAACAAAGGTTATGCTGGGTATTGGAATCCTCACTATAACAGTAGCTTATTAGAAGGACCCTAGTCTGTTGCAGGTCGTACATACCCTATAACACGGATCGCAAAAGAGCGTTACCAACTTACCACTGAGAATTTCTACCAAAAAAAAAAAACTTACCACTGAGAATGAAGTAGAAAAAACACCACAAGCCTGGAGGGGCTAAAGAGAAAGCAGCAAGATCACATTTGTGCAGCCTTAAGGATGAAGAAGATAAGTCCTGGGAAATAGGAGAGTTTCCACCGAAGCACTCGAATGGAGAGATGGAAAGAGAAGAATCTTGATGCCATCCCCTGATTCGGCTCAATAGGAAACTCCTACTACTCTTAAACCAGAATTTGCAAATTGCAAACTTGCAATCTTGACCAACTTAAGATTCACACCCAAGCACCACAGATGTAATTTTAAGTTCATGAAGAAAAGGCTATCAAAACTATAAAGAGATTTAGTCAAATTAATTTTTATGGGTTAATTCTCTTACTTAATAACACATTATTTCATAATAATTATCTAACTTATTCCTATAATTAACTTATAAAATGAGAATTACAAGATCAAAAGTGCTATAAATAGAACATGTTACTTTTCTCAAAAGAGCATTCCTTCACCTTCTTTCAATTTCTTATGTTACTATATTTTCTAAATATTATTAGGCAAAAAAAAAATTTATGTTAAGTAATTCTATAGATAATACAAATTCATAAAATATTATTGTACAACTGTAACATTTTAGATGCAACATGCTATGTATATTTTTACTACATTAGTAGGACTACTTTTTATAGAAGCAAGAATTGCCTTAAAGTGAGAAGTTTTTCATGATTTAAAGCAAGTGTTTCAAGCCTATTTTGGTGGAATTTTCTTATTGATATCTTTTAATAAATAAATAAATAATTTTTTTTTTTTAATTTTGTGACGAAGGCACAACAATGACATGATATGGAGATGAAAAAGAATGTTCAAGGAACAAGTTATTGCTAACCCCCCTTGCCTCATTCCCATTTCCTATACCAAATGAGTGAAGAAGAGATACCAAATCAAGAGACCAAGGTGAGAAAGCAAAAGATCCCAAACAAGTAACATTGCTTTCTTTAGTAGTAGAATACATTGTTTTGAAACTTGATCTAGCGT